TCACATTCATCACCTAATCAACCAAATTCTCACTATAAAATCTCAATGGCTTCTTTCAATACAGCAAGAGAAAGAATTAAGATAGACACAAAAATTAAAAAGAAAAATGAGTTCTTCTGCATTTGGAATGCTGTCTGCTATTGGATTATTCATTACTTTGATATCTTTGTGCATTGTTCCCCAGTATGCACAAGGCATAACGAGGCATTATGAGTTCAATGTATTTTTGCGCTATTTAAATCGATGTTTACTTGATGATTTTATGTTTTCAATTCATTTCTTATGATGTTTCTTCAATCTTTTGTAGATCAAGATGCAAAATGTGACGCGCTTGTGCCACACGAAGAGCATGGTGACTGTAAATGGGAAATTTCCTGGACCTCGAGTCGTGGCAAGGGAGGGGGACCGTCTAGTTATAAAAGTAACGAACCATGTTTCGAGCAACATCACCATCCATTGGTATAGATTTCATCTCCTTTTTCCCTTTACAAATAGGTCCTGAGATTTTTATTAGAAAAAATCAAAATCTGATTTTGATGGGCTACAACATTATTATAGGCATGGCATTCGACAGCTTCGTAGTGGATGGGCCGATGGACCGGCGTATATTACACAATGTCCCATACAAACTGGACAAAGCTACGTGTATAACTTCACTGTAGTAGGGCAAAGGGGAACTCTCTGGTGGCATGCACATATTTCATGGCTAAGATCAACTCTTTATGGCCCTCTAATCATTCTTCCCAAACATAATGTTCCTTATCCATTCGAGAATCCCTATAAGGAAGTCCCTATTGTATTTGGTACGCAAAATTTTCGCTGAACAATGATGAAGAAAAAGTAGTATAATATGTCTATTCTACTGTCCGATTTAATCTAGTATTCAAGGTCATGAACAACAAATTGTACTATTCGATACGCAGGAGAATGGTTTAATGCTGATCCTGAGGCCATCATTAGTCAAGCTTTACAGACAGGAGGGGGTCCAAATGTCTCTGATGCCTATACCATCAATGGACTCCCAGGACCATTATATAATTGCTCGGTCAAAGGTATAAAACCCAACTTTTTATCATAGCTACTAGTTGCCTTTTTTTTTTTAGTTTTGAATAATTGCTTTGTATGCTATGATTGGTTTGTGACAGATACATTCAAGTTGAAGGTTAAGCCCGGAAAGAGTTATCTCCTTAGAATAATCAACGCTGCGCTAAATGACGAACTTTTCTTTAGTATCGCTAACCATACTCTCACAGTTGTTGATGTCGACGCAATTTATGTTAAACCTTTTGAAACAGATACAATACTTATTACTCCCGGACAAACCACAAATGTTCTTCTGAAAACCAAGCCTAATTTTCCAGGCGCTGCATTTTTCATGACTGCTAGACCATATGTTACTGGACAAGGCACTTTTGATAATTCTTCTGTTGCAGGTATTCTAGAATATGAATTTCCATCCCTTCATTTGAAGAATCTTCCTCTCTTCAAGCCAACTCTACCACCTCTAAACGACACTTCATTCGCCACAAATTTTACAAAAAAATTACTTAGTTTAGCTAGTCCCCAATTCCCTGCTAATGTTCCAAAGAAAGTTGATAAACATTTCTATTTCACAGTAGGCCTAGGGACAAATCCTTGTGACCATAAAAACCAGACCTGTCAAGGACCAAATGGGACCAAATTCGCAGCATCTGTTAATAATATTTCTTTCACGCAACCAACAACAGCCCTTCTCCAATCTCATTACTTCGGCAAATCTAATGGTGTTTATAGCCCCGATTTTCCAATCAATCCATTTCATTGGTTTAATTACACGGGAAACCCTCCAAACAATACCATGGTAAGCAATGGGACGACGAAAGTTATGGTCTTGCCTTTCAATACTAGTGTTGAGCTTGTTATGCAGGACACTAGCATTCTTGGTGCTGAGAGCCATCCTCTCCATCTCCATGGTTTCAATTTCTTCGTTGTTGGCCAAGGATTTGGGAATTATGATCCACAAAAGGACCCTAAAAACTTCAACCTCGTCGATCCTATTGAGAGAAACACAGTTGGCGTGCCCTCGGGTGGATGGGTTGCCATTCGGTTTTTAGCTGATAATCCTGGTAAGTAAAATGTGCAAATTGGTACATAATCACTATTTCCCTCTTGGGAGAAATCTTTGTTTGATTTGTTTCGATTTAATCAATAACAAAGATTACAAAATTGTGTTAATAGGTGTGTGGTTAATGCACTGTCATTTGGAAGTCCATACAAGTTGGGGACTGAAAATGGCATGGCTTGTCTTGGATGGAAAACTTCCCAATCAAAAGCTCCTTCCTCCACCAGCAGATCTTCCCAAATGCTGATCTTGATCTTCATTTTTACTTTCCAAAGAAGCACTGAAGTTTTTGGCTTTCTTGATTGATGATCCGTTTCCTAACGCATTGAGCTGACTGAAATTTCCCAGTTTTTGGCTTAGGCTTCAGATATTTCTTCAAATGTGATTTTGTATTCTTGTTCTTTCATGCAAAGAAATAATGACTATTGGGTAATATTTGTTGAGAGTTGAATAATCTATGGAATTCTTCAGGACTATATGAGTACTTTTCTTAATAAAATCTGGTTCTTTTAATTCTATGACAAGTATTGATGACATGACACACCAATTAATTGATGTAAAAGTTCTTGGTAGGTCCCAAAAGTTAAATGATCCACCAATTAATTCATACGTTATCGCTTCAGTGTTCAACATAATCTAAGCACGAGTGCTTAGGAGTGTTTTAGAGATCATTGATCCTGACAATACATGCATATGAAAGTTTATCTAAATATTCAAGTTCGACAAAAAAATTTCATAAAAAACATATCATTCGACACATTAGCAACCTCACAATAGAGATCACAAGATACTAATAAAGGTCACATGTACTTAAAATTGAAGCATTCACAACTATACAATAGAGGTCACGTGATACTAATATGGGTCACACAATTTTTTTCTACCTAACATCATCATATGTTAGATATAGAGCCAGATGGTAAGGGGAGAAAGGAGTCGCATGTCAGAGATGTCAAAATAATATCCATTTATCACTCTCTTGAATAGAAGCCTTCATCTTCGATTTGTTGGGTTGACCTAAGCTTCTGATAACTACCATTGATGTATTGGATTGAGGTTTATGATGGTAGGCTTCATCAAAGATTACATCTTCAAGGATTTTCTTGGATAGGATTCCCATTCTAAATAGGGAATATCTGCCTCTGTATGCAGTGAAATTAGGAATGTAAATGAGGGATTTGTGGTCAATGGGAATCTATATCAGATAACAATAAAATAAGAAAAATTACTTGTTTTTTAATAAAAATTTGTACAACTTTAATGATCCGATTTCCAAATATAGAAAGATAAAGTCATAGTTCTTCCTACTTTTCTCTTAAAAAATAGGTACGAATTTAATAATAAAAATTTATTTATGGTCTATGCCTTCTCACAACTTCACTTCTCAGGAACTATAGAATTGGATGGCTCTGTAATACCAACCGGTGTTCCAATCTATTCTGCCCTGAACTAACTACGAAAATGACTCAAAAGTTATCAGTATTCAAAATAAAGAGTTTCAAATTACTAAATGAAGCTTGGCAGTAAGCCTTTGTTTTTGCTTGAACACAAAGAACTCAAGTTTATTTTCTGTATAAATTCAATTCTAGGCTGGAACCAGCTACCAGATGTCACAACTCGTAGGATTAAGTTGACATAAAGATTTTATTGTTTGAAGACCAAAAACAATTTGTATTATATTGATTTCAGAGCACGTTTTAGTAAAATATCTTATGTGGTAAGTTGGACTGTGTAAGACACAGTAACATTCTTAATCAATAGAGCCCGACCTTAGTTATGTAGTAGAAAACTTGAGGTAGGAAGTTACGTGGTGTTGTGCAAATTGTAAACAGAAAAAATTGAAAATTAAAAAAACATTAAGATCGACATAGTGATGGCAAAAAAATCTGCCCCGCCCTGCCCGGCACTGTCGCATTGATTCTAATAAAATAATTATTTTTTTAATTATTTTCGGAATTATTTAATGGGTCAACTAGCCAATACAATATGACAGTTTTAACTGTCCAGTATTAATACCCATTACCATTGGCCATTACATCTGCAACTTAATACTAGATCATGGTGGAAGAAGTTACATCTCTTTTTGCCTATATAAACAGATTTTTGGGTATTAGAAAATAATAAGAAAAACGAGATTATATATTTCTATACAGAAAAAATATTGTTCTTAGTTTTACATATTTCTGGAGTACACTTAAGAGTTCTGAAAACCTTTTGTGATTGCTGCACAATTGGTTTATTTGATCGTTGTATCCTGGAGGTGATTGTCCACAGAGGTCGCAGCAGTTATCGACGGGCAATTTCGCTTTAGGACATCGTGCTGTCACGAGACTCGATCTTTTGATAAGTTTTTCTGCACTTTACTGTTATTTTATCCAACATTAGGCACAAATGGTCCACTAATATGAAGTGTGGTTAGAATAAGGTTGTTTATATAGAACCATAATTCCGAAATGCTCTAACAATACATCGTACCCTCCCCTCAGTTTCATCAACTAGTCCTCATGTACAAAAATATGAGCCATGTAATCAACGTACATGCATTATGTAATATGTATGTTTGTGTATGACAAATGGGTGAGAAAAAATTACAAGAAGATACATATGGTTTATGGTTGACTTAAAATTAGGGTCGGATTCAAGATCGGACTAAAAATATTTTTAAGTCAGATTGATATGTTAAAAAAAAAAATTCACACGCACAAAAAAAAAATACTTATAAAATGAAAAAAAAAAAATTACCTTCGAAAAATTGAAATGGGCTGAAGCTCCCTTAAATTCACCCCTGCCCAAAATCATTTCAAGCTTAAGCCACTGTTTGATAGATATTATAATTTAGATTTTTATAATTAATTTTAACTATATATTTCATGAATCTACAACTTTTTAATTACACATTTGATTAACTTTTATCAAAATTTGTTGACAATTTGATTTTAATCTACGGGGCTAAAATGCACGCCATGACGAAGAATGCAATTAAATAAACAATTAATGAAATGTTTTTAAAAGACATAAATAAAAAATAAATAAAGAATGACAGCTTCTAGATGAAAAGACAACAAAATAAAGGTTAGAAAAAGTTATCTTTGGTTAATAATGATAACAATTGGTGTCTATCATAGTATGGCTCTGTTTGACATACATTCTCATTCTCATTTTTTTTTCTCTTTCTTCATTTCGATCACACATATTACAAATAAAATGATATTACACACAAATCTAAAACTTTTCATTATTTTTTAACCACACATTCCTCCATCAGTCATTATTCCAGAATTCATTTTTTCCCCCAAAATGGATGTCAAACACAAACTATGTGTGTGTGTTTGGTAGGGATTTTTTGGGGGGAAGAATTGATTTTGAATAGTGATATGATGGGAAATGTGTGGTTGAAAAAGAAGATAAGATTATTGATGTGATAGAAAATATTATTTTATTGAAGAATGTGTGGTTGAAAATGAGAATTAGATTTTTTGGGGGAAGAATTGATTTTGAATAGTGATATGATGGGAAATGTGTGGTTGAAAAAGAAGATAAGATTATTGATGTGATAGAAAATATTATTTTATTGAAGAATGTGTGGTTGAAAATGAGAATTGATTTACTATTGAAAATGAGGATTGGTACCAAACATAGCCTATATAAAAATTGATGTACAAAGTGGCTTCATTCGGTTTATAAAGAAAACTCCAACCCATTTTAGTAACCCCCACCACCGGTCCAACGATCCACCAGTCGGTTCACCGCATCCCTTATTAGAAAGTAGAACCTCAAGAAAACTCACCCCTCTCCGAATTTTGTAGAAATTTTGAAAGACAGGCGAAGCTGGAGAAGAAGGAACTTGGCGGGAAATTATGTTATTGATGAAAATGAAAATGAATTCAATTACAAACTAGTTGTATCGTACAATATATAGAGATGAAAAGAGATAGAAAAGACCAAAATAACCTCCTACAATTTACAAATTCTTCAATACTCCCCCTCAAGATGGAAGGTCCAATACCAATTTTCTCAACCATCGCCACCGGAGACTCCGACGTAACTTCACCTAACGTCGGTGCCTCCACCACCACTCTTTAAAGAAACAATAGAATTCGGAAATAAAATAAAAATTGAAAATGGCTCGTAGTCGGGTCGGGTCGGGTCGGGTCGGGTAGTAACTTCACCAAACGCCGATGTAGCTATAGCTACTGGCTTGCTGTCTTTACTGATCCGGGTCAGGTCCCTGTCTCTTCGTTCCCGACATCGAGGGCTCTGAAAGACAGATCCACGAGATCAAGCACAAGTTCCCTTTCCTTTTTCTGATTAATTTTTCAATCTTATGTACACTTGCATGTGTGTGTCAATGTATGTTTCTTAATTTTCAAAATGTCTCCTTAAATGCATTTCTATGTTCAGATGTTATGTTGTTATGATCTATTTCTGGTTAAGTTTGGATTGTATGAAAATTTTAAGTTCTTACAGTTATCTTGATGATATACTTGTGACTTTTGTAATTTTACTCAAATCGAATTTCTCGCTCATTTAATTCAAGTATTTTTCTTGTAATGCTTGTGAAATGGTTTCTATTTTCTTTCCATTTTTGGTGATTAGTCGACTTGACTTTATAAAATTTGATAACGCAGTTCATGACCTGGATTATCTATCCCCAATTAATAGCTTTCGTCAGTGATTATGTACTTCTTGATCTGCAAAGATCTGCTAAAAATCTTGAAAAAGAATACATTTATAGAAATTCTGCAGACCATCGTGCTACTGCTTTCGATTGTTAATGTTTATATTCTGCATCAATGGTTGATTCGATTGCTATTAGATTATGTTCCATTTGTGGTAGACAGACCACACTCGGAAGAGTGACGCTATTCATCATTAGAGGTGATCAGTAGGTGGATGTGGACCCTCTTAATTCATTATGCAATTGAGTTGTGATGCTTTTTAATTCACTGGATAATGGGACCCATAACCACCTAGGCTGATCATCACAATTATTGATGTAGAGCATAATAATCTTTTATTCTTGTAGGGAAGACATAAATGGATTTTTGGCCAATAAAACATTAGTATAATGAGAAAAAAATAAAGATTATTATGATTTAACTATATCAGGTTAATTATTAATTGTTTTATGCTTATAATTAAATTCTTAGTATTTAGCTTTTTACTAAAAAATGAAGCAAAATTACTACAGGCTTCATGCTCATGCTTGAGCTTGAGCTTTTACTTTTTATAAATTATAAGCAAGCCGAGCATGATCCTTGAAAGTTAAAGCTCCATGTAGTGCTAATAAGTGCGCAAGCTGGCTCACAAGTTTCTAATTATTCTTTGGATGATGCTTGGCGTACAGGTAGGGGTTCACACCGAACACACACACAAACAGGGGTGGGGTGGATATTTTTGGGGTGGTTTTTCCAGGCCAGAGCAGCGTAATTCTTATTCTTTTCATCATACTTTCATGTTAGATATTTAGGGGGTGTTTGGTGTAGATTAAAATCAGATTTTAAGTTGATTATGATAGAAGTTTTTGAAATGTGTGGTTGAAAAGATGTGGAACATGTGAAAGATATGGTTGATATTGATTGTTTGACTTTGACTTAGATTAAAAATGAGACTAAAATCAGGCCCAAACAGACCCTGTAGGTTAAGTTATTAATTGTTTAATGCTTATAATTAAATTCAACTTTTTTTTTAACTATAAGTGAAGCAAAATTAATACAAGCTTCACACTTATGCTTGAGCTTGCATTTCTATAATCAAGCCGAATTTGATCCTTAAAATTTAAAGACCGTCCTGGGAAATTATTCTTTCATTTCTTTTACTAATTGGTTCAAGTCAACTTTGACTGCTTTAATGTTATGCCATTAAGAATTCCTTGAGACAACTCAGATGCAACAAGAGCTCATAGCTTACTGTTTGGCCCTTGGCAAACTAACCTAAAGTAGTATGAAATAAAACTGTCCTGAAAAGATAAACTTTAGACCTACATGAAAATTATCACAACATCAGCAGTTGCAAGATTTTATTTTTATGAGAACATCTTACATATGCACATTCTGGACAACCGAAAAAAAAAATCAAATTAACAGAACAGAGATAGAAATTATTGAAGATAATATCAAATCAATATTATCCTGATTTGATATTATCTTAATTTGATTTTCATATCTACCTTAA